TGAAGAAGGCTGACAAGTTGGTGCGTGGAGTGCGTAAAGCCTAGGTGTTTTGTGAGCCGGGCTTGTGTTTCAATAAATACGTTATATTATTCTATTATGGCATATAGTTTCGTAAATTATTCGCAGTAATGTTTTTTTTAACAATTTTCATTCCAAATGTGCATTGCTTTAATCAATAAAAAAAAATTATAGACATTTTGACATACTTATATTTAGAATAAGCAATGATACTCTATAGAATTTGATTCTATTGTTAAGAAAATACTCTGAAATGCATCTAATCGTATCTTAAGGAATTGAGTTACTGCGACTTCCGTGAAGCAGTTCTATGCTTGTCCGGTATTTATACTAAAAAAAGTATTAGCCAGAACTCTCAAAAGTTGGAGGGTTAAACCCAGTTATAGCTCCTCGATGTCACTTAGTCTTCCTTGAGTGCGGTGTTCACCCATTTTCTGGCTGTGGCTTCGATAGCCGGTAGTTGAATGCCTGGTCGGACATCTCTCTGGCCGGTGGTCTAACCCCAGTTTACCGTTGTAAATAGGCCAAGATCATTAGGATTATCAACTTGCATCTGCAACCACTTTTGAAGTAGTTAAGAGTGCTAGGCAGTGCTTACGTGTAGCTTGGCTAACATTTCAGACTTCTAAACTCCCACTTCACCACCTACACTGACTCAAACAAAGTACCACGTGTTGAATTTTTTTAATATTCGTAATGTTTTTCGAGCTAAATTTTTTTTGTTTTTTTTTTTCTGTTAAAATACCGTCAAAGCGTTAACCAAAACCAAATAAATCACAGTTTCAAACTTTATACAAAAATTAGGAAAATTCAACAAATTCTCATCAAAATTTCAACTTTTTTTTCGGAATCTTAAGAACATTTTTGGGTATGCAATTTTAAAGGTCATACAATTTTAGTTTAATTAAGTGTAAGTTTTAAACGGCTAAAAAAATCCGTTGATTTTTTTTTTTTGGTGACGGATTTTTGCACATTTTTCCATATAATCATGAATTTCTTATGAAATAAAATGCGAGATCATTAGCAACAAAATTTCAAAAGATCAACGTCAGTTTGTGTAAATTGCACTTGTTACAAAAAAAAAAACGCAGAAGCAGTCTCCAAAAAAATTTTCAAAAATCACCGCGCTGTTTTGGCCGCTTAAAACTTGCACTTCATTGGACTAAATTTGTATAGGCTATTACTGCATACCCTCAAATGTACAAAGATACAGATTAAAAAGCTGAAATGTTGATGAAAATTTGTCGAATTTTCATAAATTTTGTATACAGTTTGAAACTGTGATTTATATGTTTTTGGTTAAAGCATTTACGTTATTTTTATAGTAAAATAAAAACGAACAAAATTTGGCTCGAAAAACATTACGAATGTGCAAAACAAATTAACGCGTGGTCATTTGTTTAAGTCACTGTATTCCGCACGACAATCCATGGCTTTAAGGATTACATGTAATGAAGTTGAGCAACCGAATCATACCCCCTAGTGAAATGTGAAGCTTGTCCACATTACAGTCTGCTGTGGAACCATCAGTAAAGATTTTTCTATGCGTATGACGAGGCTCAATAGTTGAATTAAGCCAGCACTCGGACTCATACTATCTCCTCACTTACATCCACACCTCAGCAAATTTCGTTAAACTGTTCATTCCATTTTGAATCGGCTACACTTTTTCCTCAGGTACCCCACCAATCTATTCATAAACTTATATTTTCTTACAGGGTAGCCTCAGCGCACTACATAGTCGTACCTAAGCGCTTATGTGTGTACATATCCATACATACATACATATACATATGATATACGCACACCTTAATATAGTTGTAAGCTACAAAACGTGCCTGTGCCAACGTACAACACAATCGTAAAAGCGATACACACACAACCTGCAGTTGGTTCGTCGTGGCGCATGTCTCGCCGCCATTGCTCGAACGACTGTATTCATAAGAAAAGTCGCGGCGACGCGTCGTTTGCTGAGAGCTACTATCCAACAGAGTCGTGCGGTGGTTGAAATCAACGAATTTAGTTTGTCGCGTGCTTTTGATGTGATTGCGTTCATTTAGTGGTGTAACGTTTTCTTGTTTATATTTCGCTATTACCATTGTGTACTACAAAATGGACGGTCTACAAGATCAAAAGTTTAATATTCGTTTAGTGCAAGCTATTGAAAAATATCCGGCTTTGTACAACAGTGACCTCAAAACATATAAACGAAGGGATTGTAGAGAACAAGCATGGATAGAAGTGGCCGAGGAGATGGATTGTAATCGTAAGTCTTAAAGCCTGATTATGGCAACTTAACTTAACTTAACGGAACGTAGAACTTAGAGAACCAAAATGAAACAGATTTCTACGTGGCATTAAGTTACGTTAAGTTTTGACTGTTCAATTATAAGCTACATCCATTTAACAGAATTTTTGAGGGAGAGCCGTAAGTTACGTTAAGTTGCCATAATCAGACCATAGGTCTTTCTTCATATTTGTCATCCAATCACAGTTGCATTGTCACCTCGTTCTCAAATTTTGCGCCGCGCACATGCATTTCAATGGACCTGTACACTTTTCGTTATCGGGAAATCGTAGTAGATGCAGAGACGGATGGTTACGAAATTTTCGTTTACTAATCGTTAAGCACGCATAGTTGGTTTACATTTTATGGGGAAAAAACAAGTAAAAAGTGAATAATTGCATTAAAATTACGTAAAAATTTTGATTAACTCCATAAAATATGTGGAAGAATTGAATATGTAATTGCATTAAAATTAAGTAAAAAGAAAGGAAAATAAAAGAGGGGAAATAAAGGAAAAAATTATGTCGGGAATTATTGCAGTTCATAATTGTAAACTGGCAGAGTTTTGTAAAAATTTCGAGAAAATTTCAACCATAAAACAGAAAATGCGAATATTTCGACGCGGAACGAATTAAAATATCACGATTGGGTGTGGGGAAATGTAATCGTTGAATCATGATTGTTACGATGAAACAACTATGATTGGACGACCAGTGTTCAGTAAGCCTAAAAGCTTATTTAGTCTAGACTTAACTTAACTTAATATAACTTACCGTTAGAAATCATCAATGATTACTCAGCACGTCAAATTAAGCAAGAAGCGGGAATATTTTGTTTTTGTGTTTACTTTTTCAGCTGTTTGACAGTTTGCCGCCTAAAATGCCACATCGAAAAAATGCATGCAAAAAAATATGTTGCGTTCATTTGTTTTTGAGAAATACAAAAACGAAAATCTAGCAGGCCTGATTCTCTCACCGCTCCCAATTCCCGTAAGGCCAGAACTTAAGAATCTAAAATCTACAGGTTCTTAAGTTGCTTACGGTAAGTTAAGTTTTAACTAACCGTCAACACAGTTTCTCATGTAACAGGTTGGCTAAAATATTAAGTTAAGTTACGGAAATTTAGTCTAGACACTCAGTTAGTATTAAAATCTTAATACTAAGTATTTAAATTATAATTTAATCAAAAAACTACAAATCTAATAAAAAATCAAAAACTTATTATGCAAGGCTTTAAATTTTCATTCATTCTTTATTTCTCCAGCTAAAGTCCTTCTCCGAAAATGGCAAAATTTTCGTACAATCTTAGTGAGAAAACTTAAACAAAAACAGATGGGAGAATATGTACAACAATACTATTTATACGAACACATGAAATTTATCATTCCGTATTTGAAGAAATCATATGAGCCTGATGCGATAAAAAGAACCATTAAGAAAAAAGTGGATGAAGAAGAGGACGCCGATATAAATGAGACAGACTCACATCAAAGTACAGAGGATAGTGCCATCATTCCCGAAAATGATATCGACGATCCAGTTTATTTTGAGGAAGAAGAGGAATATGAAATGAGTCCACCTAGGAAAGTAAAGAAGTCGGATAGCTTTGAGGAGGAACCCGAATCCATTGGTATTGATGAGTACATTGATGCAATCAACCATCAAAGTGAAACGAAGTCGAATAATTTGGCTGGCTATGCATTAGTCAAACCCGAGTCCACAACAACCAGTCGCCCTTCAACTTCAGCTGCAGCGACGCAAGTACATAGAAAACTTAACCGTTTAGAAGAAAGTGATAATCCAAAGAGGCAGTTTATTCTCAGTTTGTTGCCAGACCTCTACGACATGAACAACACGCAGATGCGGATATTTAAATCTAAAGTTTTAATGCTGGTCAGTGAAATTTTAGACGAAAATGCCACCTGATTTGATAGATTTATTAATACTAGTGTTCGCCCAGCGGTTGAAATTCAACCGATAAAATTAAGGATAGTTTATGTAAGTTGAGAGAGCTAAAATAACATTAGTTGGAATGGGTTAAGTGGAGGGGAGTTTAGCTTAGTACTTGGCATAACATAACATAACCATAACATGAGAATAAATAACATAACATATGAAGCATAACACACCACAATATAACATCGCACACTCTTCAGTTGTATTTCCTTTTTATCCCTTTTTTCACCTCTATCTAAATCTTATTTATTTTGGTTCATTTTATGCCAAATGATGTTGCCTTTGATGCCACATCAAGTGATATCATGTCATGTGGTGAAATTGGGTGTGGTGAGCTGCGGTGTGGTGGAATTGGGTGTAGGAGTTACGGTGTGGTGAATTTAGGTGTGGTGGATTCAGGTGTGGTGAGTTAAGTTATGGTGAGAAAGTTGAGGTATGGTGAATTTTGGTGTGGTGAGTTGAGGAGAGTTAAGGTGTGGTGAGAAAGTTGAGGTGTGGTGAATTAAGGGTGGTGGATTTAGGTGCGGGGGTTAAGGTGTGGCGAGTTGAGGTGTGGTGAATTTAGGTGTGGGGAGTTAAAG